TTAATATCTTATAAGGATAAAATTACTTACGTATTTAACTTTGCTAGAATATTCTATGAAATTGAAATAAAGTTGTGAGGACAAAGTGCTATTTGCCTATTAAATTAACCCCATCCATGGAGAATGTCATTCGTCTTTCCGCCTTCCCAATATGACAGACAATAACAAACATTTGTTCCCAACTGGTAATATAAAAGGCAGTAATGGCGCAAGTTGAGGCTCCCGTGAGAGCCCTTGAGCTAAGTTACTCTCAAAGCGGTTCAGACCTAACGCCCCGCCTCGCTCCTGCCACCTCGAGCTCGATAAAACACTGTTTACTTCTTCAATATTATCATTCTAAAAAAATAGTTTTTGTATTTAAAAAACATTAGAAGATTGTTATTTGTTTTTAAACAAATGCTTTCTATAATAATTGCCCTTCAAAAGATGCATAAAACATTTTCTATATCATGTACTCTTATCAAAAGTTTAATGTTTATCATTAAAATAAAAATAATACAATCGTAAATAAAACCTTGTCTGAAAACAAAAAACCGTGAAACACATTTAACTTAAATGTCACAAACGGTGAAAAAATAAAGTGCAACACGGATTCGGAATAGAAATTGGCTCGTTTGAGCTGAACCGCAACCGCTCAGTGGCCGCCGCGAAAATGTTGCGCTTGTTGCCTTTTTAACTATTTTCAATTTCCGGCTAAACTAACATATCTAAGTAAAGTTTAGTAAAACTCATTTTTAGTACCAAAACTAACCTGAATTTTAATTATCAACGTAAACGATTCGCCTGGTGAATTCACTTTCGTATTTTGTAAATAATAGAAGCTCATGTAACAAGGACGTTAGTTATGAGAGTGGAGGTACACCGGTAGAGGTAGACCTAGAAAGAGATAATTGGATTGTGTGAAAGGTGACATGAACAGGAATGGAGTGATGGCTGAGATGACGGTTGATAAAGAGTTTTTTGAAGGACGAAAACCCGGTGCGCAGACCATATAGGAGTTGGACTTATCCTAATCCTTACCTACCTTAGTAGGTGAGACATAATGCTCAATTTATTACTAACGAGTTTTATTATTGGCCTTATTAAAAGTAGTATTATTAAGGCCAATAACGCATACACTGTGGTATTTTATGTTATCTGTACTATATAACATTTTACAACCAAGTTCATACATAACATGCTACAAATGTATCATACAATTTATGATGTAGTTATATAAACATACAATTTGCATCAGATAGCAGACAATAAGGTTAATAGACTGCAGTATGTCTTTGTTTCCAAGTTTACATTTAAAGTTCACTTACTTAAGTCTTATCGAAAACAACCAAGAAGTTACTTTGTTTAAAAATACACAACGATTAAAAAAATCAAAACTGAGTGTCACTTACTACTTTAGTCTTTAAAATTCCTACACTTTAATAATGAACACTATAAAACAATTTAGAACGCAATTTTTACGATAAATTTTAGTTTAATTTCAGCGATCCGATGCTCTTGCCCCCTTTTTCTATAGAAAAAAACGTAGTTAATTGCATAGCTATCATACAATTCATTTAATAAACCATCAAGCAGTAAAATATTCAAGCTTGGTGATGGTATTTTATTTTTAAAATTGTTCTCAGATATACAAGTTATAGCATAGGGCGCTTACCGCATGACGCTACTGCAAACAAAACTGCTAAAGATAGGACGGGTGCCAGGTTTAGGACCAAGCCATTATAGTCTTCTGTTAGTAGTTCATATTGTGAAAAATAAGATTTTTAATACAAGAGAAAATTCTTTCAATACAAAATTCAGTTTGATTATTAGAGTAAATCATTATGATGTTACTTTTTAATTTCAGTACATTTTCCCTTCCCACTATTTTTTTTCAAATAAATAATGGGATATGGAAAAAGAAGGAATGGATAGAAAGGGGAAATGTCCTCTTCTATGTACCTTCCTCCGTTGATTAAAGTGACTGTGATATCTATGGGCTGTAGTTCTTATCTAGTTCGGTTAACTCATGTGGCCGCTTGTTCGTTTGTTATCTTATTTTTTTAAAAGTGGTTTAAGGTATCTTATTTCTTTTAAAAATTTAGAATAGCAGATATTAATAAGTAACAAAAATGTACTTTCATTCATAATTAACGTTATAAATTCCAATATCAAAACATCAAGTTTAATAATCCAAGGAACAGTAAAGTTTTGACATGGCTGTGTTATTACTTTGTGTATTACTTTGCCTGATAAATTATTTGATGTTACATATTGTGTAGACTGTACATCGACGATAATCTTTTGGAAGGGTAAAGTTTGCGATGGAAATATCCAAGAATGCTGTATACAATCATGTTCAAGGTAAATAATTAAGTTTACTACTAAGTTGCATGTCTCGCAATTGTGAAATAAATATGTTTATACCAATAACTTATGTGTTTCGAGTCTTTTATTACCTATATTTTATTTCGTATCTGTATCAAAAAGTAAATAAAACGTCCTAAACTGTAACTTATAAGAGAACAGTAATTAAACATACTCGTATCACACTTTATTAAAACTTAAGTTATAAGTGGTTAGGAAAACTTTAATGTGATTTAAAAAACGTACAATTCCCATGTTGCTGTGAAGCCATTTGAGCAAAAATAGCAGCATCAAGAACAAATTTCCCTGGAGCCTTCTGATTGCCTATATATAGAATGAGAAAAAGAAACAATTTATGCAACGTATATTTTAAATATAATAACTTGCCAAAATTATGGTTAACTTGTAAAATTTACAGTATAAATAATTTAACTTTCTAACAATCTTCTTTTTATTTCACTGCTTAAAATTTTGTAGGTCTTCAATCAACTTCTCGGATTTCCTTTTATTTCACCATTCTGAAATAAATATTAAGGATTATTTTATTACATTGTAAACTGTAAGATCGTCTCGATGTTGATACTGTTAACTGCAAAACTATACAACATCAATATAATTTATAGCACAACAGAAAAACTCATCTGTGTTAGTACAAGAAAATAATCGAAGAGTATAATTATCCTTTGTTATGGAATACATAACCAAGTTAAGTAACATGGTAATTGTCTATTACGTCTTCAACAGAGTGATAAATTATAAATGCGAATGTTTAGATGAATGGATGGGTGGATGTTTGTTAGAGTCTGTAGCCTAAACGACTGAACAGATCTCCACGAAATTCGGCACAGAACACATATGCGACTTTTTATTCCAGAAATAGTTACAGTTCCCTTAAGATGTAAATAAATTTAAATTTCATAAAACTACAAGAAACAATAATGAACAATGTCTACTTAAAAATATACGAGTATAAGCACAAAATAAATGCATTATCATTTTCTTACGTGGTTTCACGATTCCGCGCATCCATTTTGTTTCCTCTTCGGTAAAATCTGCAAATTTATTTATATCGTACGTCGCGGTATCTTGTTTCGTATTTAACTCGTTGATGCGTTCCAAAGATTTAATAAAAGCCTGATAATGTTTCTCCTTGTCGATTTCATCTTTGTATTCTCTGTCGAAGTCTTTAATAAATTTTTCAAACAACTCCTCGGCTTTGTTAATATCGTAAATCGGTTTATTGGACACACTAGTTGCCATTGCGATCACAATGATGGTTACCGTCTAACTAAAAAATTTAAAAACAAAGAGAATATTATATTGAACTTTATGAGTCATGCGCAGTCAGTTTGTAGGTACAATTCCGTTATGACGAATCTGGTATTAAACATAAAGTAACAATGTATACTTATCACACTTACATATTTGAATACAAACATATGTTGTTATTAATTTATTACACAGTTGCATGATAAGAGTGTTATTTTATGTGGGTTTGTATTTCTATCAATTTCCTTGAAACCTCCTGCAGTGTACCAGTCTAAAACAGACTCGATTTATTCTCCTGATATTATAGAATTACAAACTGTCGTTTTTTTTAAAGTGTAAAATTATATTTTCCTTTATAACAGATGTTAAATGTGTTTAAAAGTTTTAATTCTGTTTGCCTCTGTTCAGTACACTTAGAAGTACTAACTACACGTCGGCATTCTCTTGAGGTCGAGTTACTTTCGGTCGAGTCGTGCCTTTGATGCAACAGCTGCCTCTGACTTTACCACAGCCAGTGTTTTGTAAAATTATTTTAGAGAAGAGTTAAGTTCATTTCTCTATACTGAGAACTAGTCCATTTCAAATGTGATACTTCGCTGTACTCGAAAACGTTACGTTGAAACAATATTTATTTAACCTAAACGCACGAATGCTACAAATGGGAAAACAGTAAACTCTGAATTGGAATAGAAATTAGCTCATGTTTAAATGTTAGATATTCAGTGGCTCTCGACTCACATTTTGCGGAACAAATAAATACTTTTAACTGAATGATTTTTCGGCTTGAAACTGATAAGTTGTTAAAATTTAAATTAAATACAAGATTTAGATATTACTATTTAATAAAAGATACTTTGTTGTTGTTACAATATTAAATTCAAAAAAATATAAGTACAATTACACCATAAGCCTAAGTTACACTCAGATATAATCACGCGATATCAATAACAATCTATTAGGAAAAAATGGAAAAAAACATTCAAAGAACTAGCTAAGCAATGTGACAAAATTGAAAACATTTCATCTTACATTTTTGTTTCAAGTGAACAGAAGTGTAATAACAATTAATTAAACATTATGTTGGTATTGGTTCACAATAAACATCAACAACAACAATCTGTACCGTGTTCATTAATTAGTTTTGAAAACAAGAATAACATAGTCATTATCAAAGGTACCCATCGTCGATCGTCGATCCAAATTTATATTTCAGTTGCTCGATGTTTGCTCGTACATCCTTTCTACATCCGACCTTTTCTCGGTCGCTTATCTTTTATAAAGTATCCCGGAACCCCAAAAGTTATAAAACAGATATGTATCTTGTTACATGTTATAAGTTTATAGTACAATTTTTACACGCTAATGCTTACAAACTAGATATTTTAAAATTCTTCCAAGATCACATTAATCTGAAAAAGAAAACTTTCATGTTATTACAACTATAGGACAAAATAATAACATACTAGTTATTACTGCCTAATACTGTCAACCTTTACGTTTATTATTTCACTGATGTTTCTGAATAAATATTTTTCTTCTCTCAAAATTAAAACAATGAAACATCAACTTGACAAACCAGTATGTTATTTTTAATCTGCAAAGTCACTACTGTCACAATGACAACTACAAAGCTATTAGGATAAACAAAGCATGAATTCACTACGTATCGACTATTAAGCATAGTAAATATTACATGTTAAAAAAACCATTTAGCACTTACTGCGTTTCGCCATTCCGCGCATTTGTCTCGACTCCTCTTCAGTATAATCTGCGAATTTATTTATGCCATACGTCGCGGTGCCATCTTTTGAGTTCAGTTCATTGATTCGATGCAGAGATTTGATGAATGCTTGATAATGCTCTTCTCTATCTGCGTCATCTTTGTAACTTTTGTCGAAATCTTTGACAAATTTCTCGAAAAGCGCTTCGGCGTCGTTGACGTCGAAAATCGGTTTTTTCTGCTCCGATACACTCGTCGCCATTGCGGTCACGGTGAGCGACAGAGACCGACTAACGTGATGCGAGGGAAGGGAGCGAGGTATTACGGTCTCGTTCTCGGTGACTCAGTCTGTGCCGGTTGTGCCCCTGCCGGTAACATCCAAACTTGCATCTTGTATAATTTGCTGATATAATTGTATCAGGCGGTGGCCCGAAAAATAATTAAAAACAAAAAATGTAATATAATATTGCAGTACAAAAGCAGTGAACATTGTCGATGAGTTCACTAGATTTTATTAATTCGTCCAATCATGCGAAAAGTGGAACAATGTCGGCTTTCAACTGTTCGGTGCATAATTAAATATTTAAATGTTAAGTCGTGATATTTTTTATGACTCAAGTTTTCTTTTATTTAAACATAACACAAATATGTTTATTTATATTCGTTATTCTGTCCTACTAAGATAATTCTAAAACGTATAAATACAGAGAAAAATGTATTTCACATAACGCTAGGGCGTTATTCTTTTTTCTTGGAAGGGATCTGAAGAAGGTTTAAATGAAGTGTCAGATGCAAAGGGTAGTGTCAATATTGAATTCATAAGACAATTTAATGCGTGAAGGCCTTTGAGAGAATATGTTTTTGTTTTTTAACACTGACGTAATAAAACAATTCGGTCAAAAATGTGACTAAACGGAAACAATTAAAGCATTTATCTGTTTGTTGTTTTTTTTCTTTTTAGTAATTCTTGACGTTTCGTGTTCCGTTACAAACAATGTCTAGTGGTCGGTTCATTTGCAAAATAGCCAACAAGCTAAAACAACACGTTGGAAACTATTACTCAACTACCAAGAGCTAAAAGCTAATAATTTATTTCACAAACAACAGCACGTTATACTAATTTACCGGAGAATGTTACGGTAATATTACATGAAATGAGATACGAAAATTTTTGACAACGTATTTTAAAACATTTAACTATTTTTGAGGAAATAGCGCTATCAGATAAATGAAATTTCATACAGTTACTAATAGAACAGAATACTGGAAAGAGGTAGATACAGCTATTTTTAATTTAAAAAAAAGAAAAATATTGTCTAACCAATATTAGCTTTCGCCCGCAACGCTGTCTGCGTGAAATAAAAAAACAAAAGGAATTAGACTAAGTGTTCTTTCAAACTATCCACTACATCTTTCTTTCATCGAAATCTATTCAGCTGTCTAGATTACAAAGATCCATCCATCTAAACTTTCTCATTTAAAATATTTATTAGAGTAAGATTATTTCCATTTAATTATTAAAAATTACAAATAACATTATAACTAAATGATTTATTATTTTAAGTAATTTATTATCATGTTGGTATTGTGTGGTTTTATTGACAACTCGGTAACATACGATATCAGATCAGCTATCAAATTGTGGTCTCATTTCATTGCCTAAAATTGTTTCAATATTGGTCACCGATACATTTATTTTATGTTAATATTGTAACAATAAATTATATTGGTTTAGGCTGGTTTAGTAAAAAAAAAACTAAATGTTCCCAAAGTAATAAGAAAATTATAAACACATTTGTCTAAAAATGAGTAATTTTAGATAACATTTAGCGACATTCGCCGCGCAACAAAGAACTCATTACAGCTGTACAATGTAGCTCACACAAAACCGGGACACATTATTAGTGTACTCAAATCAAACAGTGTAATTAGTAAGGATACGTACAAAGTATTTTTTGTGGTAGTGTACAAAGCATGTCTCATTTATCGGGTACAGAAAATCTGTACCATTTTTTTTGATTATTTCAAGATTTAGATACAAGCTGTACTTATAGATCGATTAAAATCTTATCAATCTCTTTTAAATTATATGCAAAACTTATTTAGAGATTAAGGTTTTGTGTACACCAGAAATTAAACTATCGCACAACTGTTTAGTCTTGCTTTGATTTCTATGAGCTTATATGTTGTGCACACTACTCGATATTCAGTTGTGCAACTAAACAGTTGAATTACCTGCGAAACAATCGACAATCGCACAACAGTCGTTCGATAATTTAGTCAAAGGTGTGTGCCCGCTCTTATTGTGGAGGGAAAGTGTTTTAATTGTATATGTTTCCCAAATTGTAAGCTGCGATAACCATTCAAGTATAGGTTTCCAATAATGCATAATGTAAAAACAATGTTCGACAATAATAGTATTGTAATTCTTCATAACCTAAAAAATACGACATTTTTCATTTCAATCATACAACCATTGTGGCATTTTGTAAACGGATTCCTTTGTGGGAATTTGCTGTCAGCGACTTAAACGGTTTCCTTTGTTATATGTAATGTAATGTTACAACGAATCTTCGATATCATTTTTCACGATTATAAATTAAAGCTTAAAAATAAAATATGCCTTAAGTAAAAAAAATATCCACTCAACTAATTAGAAGATTAAAAACTTTTTTACTATTGACAGTTTGTTCTGCAGAATGAAATTCATAATCTTAAGCAGAAGCATTAAAAAGTGCAATAAGAAAAGTTAATATCCTCCCAGTCTTCCCACCAACCTTTTCCTACTTCCTCAGCAGGCAAAGGCATCTATTCTTATATTAACAAACTAGCTTACGCCCGCGTGGTATTAATAAAAACAAAAAATGGTAGCCTATGTGTTCTTCCGGACTATGCTCTAAACCTGTAAATTTCATGGAGATTCGTTCAGTCGTTTAGGCTACAAACGCCTACAAAAATCCATCCACCGTAACTTTCGCATTTATAATATTTATATGATAAGATTCAGTTGTAATTATAACAAATCCATCTTTGTCCAGAGTCTTCTGTACATCATCATATATTACCTTAACCGTGTAAAAAGCACGTATCGTGAATGCAGCATTTGAACAGACCATGACTAATGAATGCACCAGGTGTTTGCGGTTCCCCCGCATCAGGCACATTTAGCATTTCAACCTGCAAATGATATAGGCAAGATCAATTGTATACTAGAATATATATTTATACATAAAAAGGATACAAAACAAAAGCGCGCTTAGAATGTGAAAGGATTAAATAAAAACTGTAAAATGAAAATAACATAAAAAGGAAAAATAAATGAAACAGCCTAGCAACGTTAGAAAATTTATTGGAAAAATATTTTTACAAGAAAAGAATAAACTTTACAACTATAATTATAATAAAAATATTATAATTAAAAAGAAAAAGTTTATCAAAAAGAAGGCTAATTACATCGCCAACAGTACAAAAAACATTTTTATTGATAACTTTAATTATACAAGTTGGGATATACAGAAAGTAGCTACACCATACATTCCGAGTTTAGAAAAAAAAACAAGGATAGAATCAGAAAACTTTTACCATCTCTTATACAAAGAAGCATTATTTTGGTAAAATTTAAAGACGTAAATGTTCACAAAATTAGACTAATTACTTAGCCTGCGCTCTAACATAAAAAAGTGTATATTCTCAAAATGTAATCTGTACAAAGAAATCAAGTATTATTCCTTTTGGTCACAGAACGCAAAAGTCTTATCCAGTCATATTATTTTATTTTTAAGGCATTTTACATTTAAAAAAGGGATTCTAAATATAAATTTCGTTTGAATTAGATCTAAAATAGCTCTTGTCCTAACTTTAATCTATTGTAACATTTTTGTAGCCCGCCTGTAGACAGCTGTAACACAGGTATTTCCTTTATTAAAAGCATTGGCCTCGCTTCAATCTTTAACTATTTCATGAACTAATAAATGTTTTCAATTATTTTTTTAATTTCAATTAAGAGTTGCAATGTAATGTTAAATTTGTTACTAATTATAATATAAAATGTGTATTTACTTCTAACGCTGAAAACCTGTATTGAATCGTTTTAATTATCAATCAGTTTGCTAATTAGACCGTGTATATTTGTTAGCCTACTGTAAAATAAGCCGCGTACGCTCAATACTAATTATTTTAGTATGTTACGTTATAAACCTCCGGCTATAATTTCTTTGATAATCCTACTTCTTAGTACACTAATAACATAGTATAACATAACATTAAAAGATATCTCTAAAACGGTGCAACGTATCTCAAAGAAATTAGGTATATACCAGCTTTCGCCTGTGACTCCGTCGGCGTGGAATTAAAAAAGTAAGTAGCCTATGTGTTCTTCCAGACTATCCTCTACATCTATGCCAAATTTCATAGAGATCCATTCAGCCATTTAGGCTACAATCTCTAACAAACATCCATCCATCCATCTAAACTTTCGCATTTTTAATATTAGTAAGATGTAGAATATAGTCTGGATGAACGCAAAAGCTAATTGTTTTTATTCCGTGCGGACAGAGTCGCCGGCAAAGACTTGTTTAATATACACTATATAAACAAAGCTGCATTACAGCAGAATGTAGCCCAAACAGAAAATGGGACACACAATTAGTGCATGCAAATCAAGCGGCATTATTAAAAAGAAGCCATTCATATGAACTAAGAGAATGTGTTTTAGTTTTCGGTGTTATAAATGTTCATTTTTATGTGTATTGTGGACTGATTCAGTTGTTTTTTTTTTAAGTTTTATTTTTTACTACTGTTTGATTGTCATATTTATGACGACATTCAGTAAAATAAAGACGTCTGCTATTGTTATTATAAAATTAAAGTGAAATATTATACTCAAAAAGTACCCAGAAACCAGTTGACCACAAATTCGATGTATATTTTGACATACTGTTAATTTTGCAAGTAGATCCGTGTTATCGTTTTATTAGACACAATTGGATATTTTAATTAAAACGATTTGATTTGACTTTAAACGAAAAGTTTCGTTAGCCAACTTTAATAACTTATTGCTTTTACTTAATAAAATAATACCACTTGCCTGTATTCAAAATTTCATTCACGGCTCGGTCCTCCTAAAATGAAATAGAACTGGTACTCGCGTTTTATTTAGAAGTCGCTTTTCACGCCTTAAAGAACTAAGGTCGTTAAAAGTCAAAGTAGTTTAAAAGTCATGCTTTAACGAGGTATACTCACAACACACATTCGTGTACGCAAAGTTTTCAACTCAAATTAAATGGATTTCAATAAATTTAATGCTTAA